TTCAAGCACGCTCGGGCACCGACGCCCTTGCCACCCAACTCCGCGTGGCTTTGGAGCGGTCTCCTGATGCAGTCGTCGTCTCCCTCGACGGCCGGGCGGCATACGACACAATGTCTCGCGAGTCGTTCCTGACGGCTCTGCAAAATGTCGCCCCGAGCATGCTCCCGTTCGTCCGCCTTTTCTACGGGCGCACATCAATCTATTATTGGTGGGATGACAAGGGGAAGCGGAAGGAAGTGCATCAAGGGGAAGGCTGCGAGCAAGGGGATCCCCTCGCCCCCGCGCTGTTCGCCATCGGCCAACATGCAGCGCTGCTCGCGGCACAAGCTCGCCTCCAAGCGGACGAAGAGGTTTTCGCGTTCTTAGACGATCTTTACGTCCTCACCACCCTGCCCCGCGCGCGGATTGCACGGGATGTCGTCGCGGGCGAGGTCGAAGCTACCTGCGGGATATCTTCCAACCACGGCAAAACACGGATGTTCGGCTGGTCGAATGTGCCAGCTCCGCCCGAGGTGGCCGACCTCGGTGACGCTGTGTGGCGCGGAGACAAGTCGCCACGCGAACGCGGCTTCCTGGTTCTCGGCGTGCCTATCGGGCATCCGGCGTTCGTCCAGGCGTGGGCAGTAGAGCGCATGCTGGAGGAGAAGCGCTTGCTCGACGAGCTCCCCGAACTCCCAGACCTTCAGTGTGCCTGGCTGCTCCTCGCCCTCTGCGCGTCACCCCGAGCGAACCACGCCCTGCGCACCCTCCCGCCGACCGAGGTAGCAGGGTATGCGGCAGCGCATGATGCAGCTCTGTGGGAAGCGTTCCTCTCCTGCATCGGAGGAGCGTCGGCGCCCGACTCGCAAGCGGCTTGGCAGATAGCGGGTTTGCCCGCGACCCTGGGTGGGTTGGGACTCCAGTCCGCAGCGCGGACGAGCCCTGCCGCTTACTGGGCTTCCTGGGCTGATGCACTCCCTGTCATCCGCGCCCGTCGACCCCGTTTCGCGGCCAGTTGTGTCGCGGAGCTGGAAGGATCGGCCGCGCACCGCAGCGCAAGCCTTCAACAAGCTTCCGATGCTCGCACCTTGCTGCTCACGGAAGGTTGGTCGGCTTGTCCCACTTGGGCAGAGCTGCTCGACAACCACCACATGAAGGCTTTGCCAGACCGGGGACTAGGGGATTGGCCCCATGGTTGGCAGCACCACGCGACGCGGACACGCACCACCTACTTTCGCGACCGCGTGCTGTTGCCGACCATGGATCCTGCTTCCCGAGCACTCCTCCGGTCCCAGGCGGGACCACAAGCCGGGGCTTGGCTGACTGCTATTCCCTCGGATGAAGCCCACGTACTGGCGCCTGAGACCATGCAGATCGCGTTGCGCAGGCGCTTGCGTCTCGCTTTGCCGCTCACCTCCAATACTTGCGGCGGCGACGCACCTGGATGCGGCCGTCCCGTTGACCGCTTGGGGGACCATGCGGTGGCTTGCCCGCGCACGGGGCTGCTCGCACGCCGGGCCAAGATCGTCGAGCACGCTTGGGTCCGCGTGGCGCGCGAAGCCATCGGGCCCGAAGGGCAGGTCGTCCCACAGCAGTGGCTCACGCACACGACCGCACCGGGAGTGGAGTCGGACGACCGCCGCCGACTTGACATGGTCATCTACGGCGTCACTCCTTGGGGAGGGGCACTGTGCTGCGACGCGACGTTGGTCTCTCCCGTGTCGCGAGATGGCCAGCCGCAAGGGCGTGCAGCGGATGAAAACGGGGTAGCGCTCGCCACGGCCACACGCCGCAAAGAGGCGACATACCCGGAGCTCCTCCGCAACGGTCCCCAGCGCCTCGTCGTGCTCGGCTCGGAGGTTGGGGGTCGTTGGAGCGCAGGAGCCGTCGCTCTTGTTCGCGACCTCGTTCGCCTCCGCCGGTTGCGCGCCTCTCCCGCTTTGCGCAATGCCGCGGCCACAGCTTGGGCTCGGCGTTGGTGGACCCAGCTGTCGGTCGCTGTTCAGCGTGCGACAGCCCTGTCGGCGGCCGGTCGGGCATGGCCGGCGGCGCCTCGCGCCTCGGTAGACGCTCCGGCCCTCGAGCTCGTGTTGGACCTCGCTGACGCGGCGGGGCCCAGCACCCTGCCGCTTCGAGGGTGACTGGTCCGCTTGCGGGCCGAAGTAGGAGGGAGGCTAGCTGTGTAAGGAGACCAAGGACCACTCATTCCGGCAGACGCAAAAAGGGAGCGAAAAAAAAAAAAAAAAAAAAAAAAAAAAAAAAAAAAAAAAAAAAAATAAACGGACCATCAGACATGTCTTTGAACGACCAAGAAACACAGCCAGCAGCGAAACCGCAATCGTGCAGTTTTCATGGCTGGGTCTGTGCTGACCAAGATGGTCAAACTAAGCATACTTGATCCCCAAGTTTGTTGTCGCCAGCGGCGGCGTTGCCGGCAAAGACCAGAGATTGGATTCGTGGTTGGCACAGGTCGCCAGCGTGCCTGCTTGATACGTTCATACACGCCCTATTGCCAAAGCCTCACGCTGCTGCCCCGTTCCACTCGCAGTCAGGTGCCCACGCTGGCGAAACGCTCCGTGCCATCCCAGCTGACACCAGCGCCTTGGCGTCCCCAAAGTTTTCATCGCTTAGCGCCTACTCTTGCGCTTTTTTCTTCCTGTGCAGGCAGCTGCTCGGTGTGCACCGCATGTGCCCGCAGCAGCCTGCTGGCCGGACGAACATGTCACGCTCGTGTGGCGCTTGCGCGCGGACAGGTGGCCGCAACGCAGCCGGGAGCGATCGCCACCACGCAGCTATCACCACCCATCACCACCCTAAATTCGCGCGGGAGCCGGAGCTCGCCAGCCCGGAATGCAGCGGCTCGCTGACCCGCGATTTCGTCAGCCGGTTCGTCCGCGTGTGCTGCCGCTATGGCAGGCTGACAGTGCCGCTGGTGGAGTTTTTCAGCTGTCCGCAACAGCGCGCACTCGCGTCCACCTTGTTGGGCGGCACTTGGCGCAAACCGCTCCGACACTGTGCCGAGCCGACGCAGCCTTCGCGCCCCGTAAGAGATGTGCGGAGCGGTAAGAAAAACTGACTCGCAATAAGAAAAACAAGAATTAAAAGGTGTCGAAGACCTGCGCCCGCCTGGCTGCTGTTACGCTTTTGCGGTGCTTTTGCGCCTGCCCTCGGGCCCACTACTTTCTCCGCCCAGCTGCCACCTTGCCCCTTGCTGAGGCGCACGACGGCGCTGTTGACATCTGTTGACAGGTGCGTGTTTGCTGTTCGGCTCTGCCCGTGCGCCGGGACCGTGTGCCTGCAGCCGCGGCGCGGTTCCTCGCCTTGCTCGCGGACCACGCAGCCGGCTGTGTGCCAGTCGTCGCGGCAGCGGCCGAATCTGCAGCTCACCTTGTCAGCCAGGGTTTTTACAGCCTTGCTTCGGACACCGCCCTCGGCAACGTCGCTTTTCCGCTTGACACGGCCGTCGAAGACGGCGATGGGGTTAACTACTAGCGTGGCTGGCAACGTTGGGCCAGCCGAGCCTGCGACGAGCGCGCGCTCGAGACGCACCTTACTGACCTTTCGCCTGCGTCTCGCGCCCTGCTGCTCTCCCAGGCCGGGGCACACTCCGGCCGTGTGTTTACGGTCCTCCCCACCTCCGACGATGTCACTATTGCCAGTGCGCAGTTCCGTGTCCTGCCACCGCACCTGCTGCTGCGGCTACAGCCTCGACCTTCTGGGGGGACCACCGATCCGCCTGTGCCACTTCGGTTGTTTTTCCGACTTGGGCGCTGCCGCTCGAACATGCCCTTGCCCGTGTCTGCCGCGAGGCCAGAGCACGAGTTGCGTGCAATGTTCGCGTCGCTGGCATGAACATTGATGTGCCGATCAGCGATGCCAGGAGGATCAAGATCGTGTGCAATGGCTTGCCCTTTTGGCATGGAGCTCAGGTCGCAGTTGATGCGACTCTGGTCTCCCCACTAACGCGCGAGGCGCAGCTGCGGCTGATGCGCAGCCGGGCGTTGCGTTGGCCCGCGCGGCGCAAGCGCCGGCACACCTATACCCGGAGTCGCTCCGTGCTCGCCGCAGCCGCCTTGTGTTGTTTGGCATTGCAACCCGTGGGCGGTGGCGTGAAGAAGCCGCTAGCTTCTTCCGACTCCTCGCGCAGGCCCGCGGAGCCGGCGCACCTGTCGCCGCTCTGCTCAAGCCGCTCGGGTGTACCGTTGGAGTGGCATCCTTTCCGTAGCCGCGCAGCGAGCCTTCGCCACTTCACTGCTCGAGCATGCTCGAGGTTCCCGTTGCCGCAGAGCTCGGTGCTGGCAGCGACCCACCCGCTCCTGGCTGACGCACGCTGGTTGCAGACACCCGCCGCCAGCCGCCTCCCAGCCCGCACCGCCTAACCCGTAGACGGCAGCATGCACCGGGACCGGACCATGTACTTCTGGTGCTGTTCTGAACAAGGTGCGGTGGGAAAAAAAACATCAAAACATTATGTTATAGATGCGTTTTGTCAAGAATTTGGCCGAGACGCAGCACGCGTACAAGTAGGGGTGCCTGGCCTCATCGGTGAGTGGTGGTGTAATTCAAGTCAATCGCTGCTGCGCCGGGCCCGAACCGCCGACCCAATGGGGGCAACCCGCCCCCCCCGCCGTCCAAGCGCTCGCGTCTCAACGCACAAGCCACGGAGAAAGGCAGCAAAAGCAAGGGCCGCGGCAAAGGCCTTAAGAACCCAGACAGCCCATCTAAGTCGGAAGCCTGGCCAGTTTTTCGTTTCCATCCGCGAATTCACCGCAACAGTTCACCATATTTTCCCAGCGTCGTGGACCTCTTCCGCAGAAGTTGGCCCCAGCTTGGGATGGCCAGAACATTTATAAATGTCGAGCTGCGAGAAATGCTGTTTTCATCCAGTTCCTAGATTACGCATTGTTTCCTCGGTTTAGAACTTTACACACACCAATGATTCGAAGAACATCATGGAACAACTTACGGTCTTTGACCAGCCCACGTGACAGCTGCCAGTACCGTTGCTCAGCTGTGCGGAGGTGAAGAAGACCTACCAGGAGGCAGACCGTCTGCATGCGCAACGTCAGCATGCAAGCAAATATGCCAACAAAGCATGTCGCTTCCGGCGAGCATTGGCACCGACTGGCGAATTCATGCCCATTAGCGAAAGCGAGTTCAACATGGCAAGTGCGATCGCACTGGCAGCTGCTTGCGGGGCACTGGCTTTGGCAAGTTATGCGGCATGGCGACGTGGTCCGTAGAACCACGAAATCTTGCGAGATGTTCTGGATGCAGCGCAGGCCACAAGTTTGCCATCGTGCTGTCCAAGCTTCGGTCCATGCAGGTGACATCATCTTGCGGAAGTTCGCTGCGCGGCCATGAACAGACAGTGTGCTTCAACTTTACCCAGCATGTGAGGGGCATCGGCCGGGCATCGGTTTAGATCTGATATGGAATGATCAAAGACTTTCAAGCAATGCCCACTGCAACACAACAGTCCATGGATCACAGGAGCAAAGCCTGTGCAGATGCAGAGCAACGGATTGCATGAAACCTCATGGAACTGAGTGTGCGTAGCTGCAGGGTTTCACCTCGGCTTGATTCTGGGTTTGGCACCGTTCCGACTGCGGCAAAATGGTTGCAGGGAGGTCGCGCAGCACTTTTGTCAGGCTTTCCTGTCGTCCTCGGGGCGGCCTGCTTCGAAAGGAATCGCTGATGCTGACACTACCAGTTTGCTTCCTACAGCCACCTAAACAGCAACTTCGACGTTCATGTCCGTGCCAGCCGTGGTCACTGCAACGGTGACAAGTGCGAAAGCAGTTGCAGATGAGCAGTTCAAGATCATGAACCATGGGTTATTACGTCGGGCATTGTCCCTAGGAGGAGGAACCCGCCCCTAGGTAGGCACAGCCAGTGCTTCTGTAAATTTCCAAGGGTTGGCAACGATTTATTTGTACTTTAGAAGTTTACGGTTGACGGTTTCCTGTTCAGGGTCGAGGGTTCCGGTTGAGGGTTCGTAAGAGGGCTGTGGTTTCATTTTTTTTGTGTTGCAGGGTTGGGGTTTCTAGTCTAAGGATGTGATTTCAGTGGCTTCAAGGGGTTTGAATGGCGATGCTTGTTCTTGGTTCGCGAAGCTTTCGCCAGCAGAAAAGACCATAGACAAAGCAGCACACCAACACACTTTACACCCTATACTTCGAGCTTTAGACCCTAGAAACCCGAAGCCGTTAAACCCCAAACCCACAAGCCCTGCACCCCAAATATTCCCAAATCAGCAATCCTTAAGCCCGCGTTTAGGTGTATTTCGGTCCCCAGTCTCTGTAAACTGCATTTTCAAGCTTCGGGCGAGAACGCCGCTACACATGCAGTGCAAGAAAACTGAGCATTGACACAGATGAGAGTCCTGCTAATGTTGAGCCCCTTCTGTAAATAGAAGGATCCCGTCGTGACGTAGTGGTCCTAAAGTGGGACCTCGAACTTTGCACATGGTTGGTGGTTACTTTGAGCAAGAGCTGGAGTACGTCCTCTGCCTGGGCCCACTGGTGCTGGCTATGTGGGCGAGCCTCGGCTATATGATTTTTCGCTACCGCGGAAGGAAGCATGAAGACACTCCAACAAGCACAGCTTGAGGATCAGGGTTTCTGCATTTGCGCTCCTTCCTGTGCGATTCCGTTTTCAGGCTTGCAGTCCAGCGACTTTCGGTTGTGCGGTCCCGGATCCTTGAACCTAAACTCATTTTGCTCAAATCCAAGCTGCAGGATGTGTCGAGCCAAAGGTTTTAGTTCTCAACCGGGCATCATGCAGAGGCTTCCACGAAGGACATTTGGGGTTTCCTTTCGGGATCTTTGATTTTCTGAACCAAGGATGCCAACGCTTCATGAGGCAGTCACAGGTCAATGCTCCGGGGGGAGGCAGACACTCTTCTCCCCTGCCGAAATGTTGCAGATGCATGGACGATGGATGTTGAACAAGCCAGCATTGCAGTCTGGAGAGTGGTGGCGCGCCGTCACCCACATGTTCGTGCACAAAGACATGGAGCACCTCTTGCAGAACTTGCGGGGAATGTTGGCCAACGGTTTCGTCGCCTTCAGCGAGTTTGGTTGGCAAGGCCTTGCAGCTGCGTTGGCCCCCAAGACCTCTCAACTGCCTTTGAGGCTTCCAACCCTTACGACAGTTTCCGTCACAGAACTTCCAGGGTTTCCTTGTCAAACTCCCACGAAATACCTCAAGCGAAGGCCCGTATGGTGTCTTCTTCTGCAGTGGCATACTGGCGGGTCTGAACACCCCTGGACGGGCATTCCAAACCGAGGCACACTGCGTAATGAAGGAACATACCCTATTAGGCTTAGGGCTCTGTGCGCTATGACTTGTAAAAAAAGAAAACTTGTATTCCTGTTGGGCTTGCTGGTTGAGGGTTTCCACTTCAAGCCCGACCACAAACCCTAAATCCTGAATTTCAAACCCAAACCCAAGACCCGGTCCCACGAACCGGCCCGCAAAAAGGGTGTTCAGTTTGCATATAGGGGTTTGGGCAGGAGCAAGGGGGCGCTATTCTTGAAGCAATCCGGGCGCTAAGTTCAAGAGGCATTGTGCCTGTGTCCTATTCAGAAAGCCAGGGACAACTTCCTTATGCAACTTACCTTATTAGAATCGCAGGCGTAAATTCCCGGGAAAAGTCGCAGTTCAAGGTATCTTCTTGAACTAGGAGTTATTAGAACGGAAAAGTTTTGCTTAATCAGCGGTCTGTGTTCTGAATTCGAGGGTGGCGGCTAAACGGGTGGAGTCAAACAATCCGCAACTGGCCATGGATCGTGTTTGTTTGTGTTTTCGAGGTTGTTACAGTGCTTTCTTTGAGCAAGCCATGGGAGATCAGTTATGAGCGCTGAACATGCGTGTTGCTCAGACATTCAGGCGATCTGGTGCAAGAAAGGTCACGCAGTCCCAACACATGAAGTCTAGAACCCGCAAACCTCGAACTGAAGTAAATCTTAAACCACCCCCGACTAAAACTGTCGGGACCCTCGCCTGCCCGTGTCGAGTTGCGGGTGCTGCAGCTCTAAAATCTACAACCTTTGACCCAGCAATCCCAAATCCAAAACCTTTCAAGCCCTCAAACCCCAGAAGCCTTCAAGGATTCCCTACATGAACCGCCCAAAGAGCCTTGTTCAAGGGGACCCATTCTTAAACCCTGAGCCCTGAGTCCAGGCGCAGCTCGAAGGTTCGCTTCCCCGCGTCCCCGATCGCCTGGGGCCCGTGGCCATCCCGGAGACTGCGCGCGGCTGGTGGGACGCGCGGCCGGGCCGAGTCTGAAGAAAGGGAGAGCTACAGAGATGGACGAGGTCGTAGGTGTTCATGTACCCGAAGTAAGACTTGAATTAGACATGTAGCTCCTGTGGGTGATGGGGTTCCGGGTTTTTGGGTTTGGTGGTTAGTTGGGTTGGGGGAGGTGTTCAGTCTCAGAGCAGACATTGCTTTCGAGGCAGCCTCACGCTAAGGATTTCCCAAGGAGTCTGCTGAAGGGGGGTTTAGGGTATGTGAGGCCTCCTTTACGAGAAGGAAGACCCCTTGCTTGGTTGAGATCCCGCTGAGACTGCGGTAGAGCCCTGCTTCGAAAAAACGAAAGAACACCCGCTAAGTCCCACAAGACGCACAAATCGAGAAGGGTGCCAAGTGTCAAACACTCCGTTCCCCAAGTCCTGAACCCTTGTAGATGTCCGTGGATTAGGGGAAGTTTGAGTCTTGGTAGCCTGAGGCTGCGGCACCGGACCGCGCAAGCGAGCGCCCCGCTGGTGGAGGCCGCCGGGGCGTAGAGAGCTCTTCACAGACTTCCGGGACGCCCTCGTGGTGCATAGAGCGCAGGCCTATCAAGCACTTCGCAGAGTTTCTGGCAGGGTTTCTCGGTTTTTCGGCATCTATTCGCACAGCGCGTCTTCTTTCCAGGAGGTCGCGTTCAGGAGATAGAATCGACGAAGGCAAACTTTCGAAACCGAGCTACTTGTAGCACTGAAAGGAGCCAGAGTAGGCTTAAACCGCAGTCTCTAAGCGCCCAAGCCCCAAAGCTTCGCCGTCCCAAGGCTTAAACCCGTAGACGACCCCTTCCCAACCAGAGTCGGCCAATGCTACTACAAACCCTGACTCCTTATTCAATTATTACAGGTCCGCATCCTTAAACTCTCGAAGAACCTGAGACAGCCCTTTATAAGCCATGGGAAGATATAGCAGAAAACGGCTAGGGAGAGGCCCGAAACCGAGCCCCCAAGAAGGCCCGGACGGAGGGCTGCGGAGCCTCGGCGGGCGTCTCTGGGCTCATGGGCTTCGGCCTCGGCACTTTCCTGCTTCTCGGCTCAGTTTTTTTGTTTTATTTGTTTGTTCGGTTGGGCTCTTGGCTCTTTTTTCTGGTTTGGGGCCTTCAGTATGCAGGCAATGATTTTTGGGTTTTTGCTTTCTGCTTTGCATTTCTTGTTCAAGCATAATGTAGAGTCTGAGAACCGCCCGGGGCCAAGCCGTTAACGGACCTAGCCCAGCAGAAGTTCAGACCGCTTTATCACGAACGCCCTTGCTTGAGGGATCCCTCGTTTGTCAGACATCCCAACGAGTCTCCGGCTCCAGAACAAGAGGCCGCGAGTCGCACAAGAGTGACACCTCTTTCTCAGCGCCCAAATCCAGGCCCGAAGAGTTTAGGTATGTTGGATTGGGGGTTTAGGACATAGTTTTGTCCTGTCACTAGTAGAGACACGAGAAGGGGGGATGGTTACCCACTGAAGCTTTGGAGATACCACCGTCTAAGTCCACCTGAAAGCACCCCCAAAGGCAGAGCCCAGGTATCAGTTTTGGGAGGCCGAGAGCCACAGCAGCGGTGGCGGCAGCCGTGGGGACGCTCGGCGCCGGGATTCCCAGCGCCAGCGCACGGCCGTGGAGTCGCAGCGGCCTCAGCCCCGAAGCAGAAGCCTTGGGGGTTTGCCGATAACCCCCCCGAAGCTTTCGATGAGGATGGCGTCCCTCCTCAATCTCGTGCAGTCTGCCCAGTTCCTGGCAGAGGCACGTGGGTGCTTTTGTCGCAGGATTCAGGTGTCTTCAAAGAGCTGAGTAGCTCGAAGTCTGGGATCTGCAACCTTGACGGTTAATTAGCGCAGAGCACTTAATGATACAATTTTTTTCGTACTTCTTAGTCGTAGTCAAAAGGTGTTGGCTTCTTTTTGGCCACCCGCAAGTGTATAAAGCTCTAGAGAATCCAAATAATCCCTATACAGCATGAGTAAGC